CCGCTCCTGCTCCAAAACAGAGCAAATTTCAATTGAGCGCACTGTTAGAATGGCCAACTCTACAGCAGATAAAAGGTGTTTACAGCCTGCTACAAAAAAAGATTTTGGTTAATACAGCTAATATTACCCTTCATGACAACTGTGAGGGGGTGAATTTTTTTATAACTCATCCGTTTCCTTTATATTAAGTTTGCATAATTAAGGGCGTGGCCACTTGAGTGACAGCTAGATCTCGTTGGTCGCCGTCACGTCACCTCAGCTGAATCCTGCAGATTAGCCACTGATCTCGGCATATTTATCGTATTTTTGTGTTGTTTTGTGTAGCTTTACACAGTCAACTGCCTTTTGGACTTGTTTCCTACAATTATTAGATGGCATGGCATGCTGAGTGCACTTAATTGTGCACACAAACCATTCACGTGGCCTCCGTTTCCCATGTGAGTAAAGTTATATACTTATATACCATCTCTATACATGTATTTGTTTTATTTAATCGTTTATATTTATATTTAGAGCTGTAATGCACTCCAGAATCTGTCAGATTGATTAGCTGTAGGCTCTAGATCAGTCATCTGAAGCGTTGTCATACAGTGTTATGCTGGATTTCATCAATAGTCTCACATTAACTAACACAGACTATATCTGAAGTGTTTGGAAGTAATTCATGTTTTCCTCCTGTTGAAAAACGTCATAAGAACAATGTTTAGAGGCTCAATATATTACAGCAGTGTTTTTAAAAGTCTAAACACTTTATTGATATAGTGTACAACCAAGCACAAGTGGTCAGAACACAAGCGAGTCGCAGGTGATGAAGTATTAAGCGTTCTCCCAAAGTAAAGTGTGTCTGAGCCAGGTCCAAGCTAAACTCTCCGCTCACTCTCCGCCTCTTTGCCCTTGTTTGGTATCCCGCCGTGGGTGTGATGACGCGCGAACAAAATGGTGACGGTTGGCCACGCCTACTTGTGGCTTCTTTTGCTCTCTTTAGAAACCTATGGGTGACGTCACGAACACTACGTCCATATATTTTACAGTCTATGGTTCACACCAGACATGGATGAAGCATCGAGCACGATAATTAGTCTAGTTAATGTTTAGATGTCTATTAGACATCTTTGAATTACATAAAATGCTGGCTTGTTTTTATACAGGTTAAACACCCCGCCATACCTTAAATGTTTCTTTTAAATCATCCTCAGTGAATGTTTTCGGGATCATCACAAATATTCTTGTGAGCTCCTCATCCTCCACATCTCGATGGCTTCCAGAAGACCTGGACTGAGCGATGAACACCTAAACCAAAACAGCACAGGCTCACATCAGGAACAAGCAAAACTATCTGCCAGTGGTGCAAGTAAAATACTCAAAGTAAGAATGTTTAGTAGTACTTTACATGAAGATTGTATTAGTTAATGCATTCACTAAAATGAACAAACAATGAACAAGTATTTCTTTGTTAATGTTATTTAATCATAATAAAAGTTTCATTTTAGTTTATGTTTAACTCAGTGTCTTAACAAGCATGAATTTGGATTTTAATAACACATTAGTAAATGTTGAATGATAATTAATAAAGGCTGAACAAGTATTACTACTGAACGATATTGAAAAAAAAAGCAGATTTTGTCTTTCTGAGATCCATATTGTGAGTTTGATTTCATCAGATGACTTTAAAGGCTCAAATTTAGAAATAACTTATTATTTTAGAGTCATTGGGATGATTCTGTAGGGAAGAGCATCTGCATACACTATAATAAACTAATCACAAGCATTGATAAATGAGCATGCTATTTTTCCCCCCATAACCTGGTAACAACCAGTACCGTTAAGCGACCACAACATCAAATTACAAATGAAAATGTCTGATTTTAACATCTTGGAAGCAGACATTTACACAGGAACAACACAACAAACTAAATAAATTGATGTTTTGCACAATTTGCTGTCAGTTTGGCAAGTCAGACAGCCTTTGTTAAATAATTTTGAACTGCAATAAAATACCTGCACATTTTCCAATACTGCTCTGTTTGTTTGCATAACACTTTGAATTTTGCATAATGCATATATTTATTACCATTTAAAAAAAAAATATTCTAGATTTACTGACATTATTTTTGACACATTATTAAAATATGCGACTAAAAATAGCTATTAACTTCTGTCTTTTTTTTTTTGGTAGGACCAGTGAAAATTTTGCCAGGGCAAGTAAACATTGGCCTGATCAGACCAGAAGAAAAAAAATCCTTTGTGTTGAATCCCTGTTCATATATAAAACCAACTTTACCTCAATCTTTACTTGTTCCAAACCTTTGTGAATCCTTTTATTAAACACAAATGTTATTTGAAGAATAAAAATCTGTAACCATTGACTTAGTATAGCATAGTATTAGTATTTCCTACAATGCATGTCAATGGTTACAGGTTTTCAGCTATAAATAAATATCTTCTTTAGTGTTCAACAGAATTAAAAAAACACACAATTAAAGATATAAAACCACTTGAGAGAGTAAATAGTGAGCAACTTACATTTGCAAATGTGTGGTGAACTATTCCTTTAACTATAACTAAATGTTAACAAAGTCACCAAAAATACTATAATAATAAATGTATTGTTTATTGTTCGCATTAGTATGTTTAACACATTGGGGTAAAGTTGGTGTTATATTCGCACATTTGGAATTCACCTTCCAAAAATAATTACAGAAAAGCATTCTCTGCAAATCCTTAATAGTGAAATCATATTAGCAGCCAATGACTACCAAAGTACAACATTGTTCACAGCCAATTAAACAGTGCTAATGTTGTTTTCAAGTCAAACTTTCATGCGATTTTAGACCCAATAAAGCTAAAAATTAACCATTGACTTACATAGTATTTGTTTTTCCTACAATGCATGTCAATGGTTACAGGTTTTCAGCTATAATCAAAATATCTTCTTTAGTGTTCAACAGATGTAACATTAAAAAAAAACTCAACAGAATACATCAAACCCATAATTAAAAGGTATAAAACCACTTAAGAGAGTAAAAAGTGGGTAACTTAACATTGCAATTTGTGGTGAACTATCCCTTTAACTAACGTTAACTAAACTTTAACAAAGGCACCAAAAATACTATAATAACAAATGTATTGTTCATTGCTTGCATTAGTATGTTACATATATTAACTAATACCACCTTACTGTAAAGTGTTAGCAATATTTGTGCATATGTTTAAAGTACTTTTATAGGTTTGGTTCCCTCGGCCAGGCATCTGCCGTGCATCTCCTCCATAGCGGTGCAGGCTTGAGAGGATTTGGCGAATTTAATGAACGCCACTCCTTTGGACTCTTTGGTCTGCTTGTCTTTTACCACCCATATATCCTGGATTTCGCCAAAAGAGGCGAAGCTTTCTCGGATGGTGTCCTCAGTGATGGATTTACTGGTGACCAGAAACAGCCGACTGTTCGGAGGCTCGTCCAGATACGAAGACGGTCGGTTAGAGTCGTCCATAGTAAAGGTTAAAAGATCAGAATTATTATCTTAACGTGATAACCCAGCGAACACCGCTTTAAAATACTGACGTTTGGCGAAATTGCTCTAAAAACCAAATGACAGTGAATTTTCAGTAAACTGTGAGCGCGGACACGTTTGAAATAATAACGTTCCTCTATCTCGACCATATATATATCTCACAGAGCACGTGACGACAAAGCAAGCGCAGATACACATTTCATAATAAAAGACTCCCTTTGTTTGTCTTTTTTTCTCCGTCAGCTAGTTAAATTCAGTTTCTAATACCTCTTGTTCTTGTGGCATTGTATTAATATAGTATTATCTAAATAATAATAATAATAATAACAATAAAATAATAAAATAACGTAGTTTATTATGTGTCACTCTAATGTATTAATATTATTTTAATTTAATAAGTTTACTAAAAATTTATTAATGAGTCTACTTTTATCTTAACAAACACATGTAGAACTTGAATGATCAATGCATAATATTTTATTTTATATAAATATATGATTTATTTTTTTATAAATATGATTTTTTTCAAGTTGAAAAGATTAGTTAAATAAGAGACTCGTCGACATTAATAATAATAATAATAATAATAATAATATAAATAAAATATATATTCTCTTCTTCATTTGATAGCATTTACTAAAATAATGAAATATAAATAATTATAACATGTTTAAGCTATTCTGTTAATTTTTTAAGCTATTCTGTTAATATTTTTTTAACAGAAAAAAATATTTCTACTACTTTTTATGTTATAAAACAATTAATTATTTTTTATATTTAAATCAGTTCGTAATATTTTAGGTTATAAAACAATTTTAAAATGTGAGTGAAACTGTTTCACATCACAGGAAGTTTAAATATATTAATTACATGTATTTAACAATCTATACTACACATTTACAAATTTTCATTTGATTTAGCTGTTTCTTTTTGACTTCTGTTATGTTTTAATGTGCACGAACACTCATACACTAATGCCAATTTAGTTGATCAATTCCCCTATAGCGCATGTGTTTAGACTGTGAGGGAAACCAGAGCACCCGGAGGAAACCCTCGCCAACACGGGGAGAACATGCAAACTCCATACAGCCGGGACTCAAACCAGCGACCTTCTTGCTGTGAGGTCTCAGTGCTAACCACTGAGCCACCGTGTCGCCACATAATGGTAAATATAACGCTATTAGTCAATAATGTAATGTTTTGGGTGTGTTATCTGGCAAATAAACTGCATTTTGATTTACAGTAAGACACAGGCAGATGCATTTATTTCATGTGCTTTAAGTTATATATTTTTTAAAAGCAGCTGATGAAAATATAGAACTAAGTGAACACAATTTGTCTGCAGAAAGGCCATAGTGGAACCACAAGAGGGCACTCTGGCAAAATAATTGCATGTGAATGTAAAATGCACTACCTGACAAAAGTCTTGTCTGTCCATGTTTTAGGAACAGCAAATAATAACTTGACTTCTAGTTGATCATTTGGTATCAGAAATGTCTTATATGAAAGGTAAAGGCCTCTAGATTTTGCTTATTTGAGCACAATAAAATCTGATCATGCCTTGATTATTAATGATTTCTTTAGTACAGTAACGTCTGACTCTGCTTAGACTAAAGTCTCATCACTGAACAGAAATAATGTCCAGTATAGAATATAAAGTCCTGCTGCAGTGGAGACAGAATGAATATTGTGTCTGACTCCATCATGAGCTTGGAGGACTGCATCCATACATCTCTGACATGACTCAAATCACTGATTAATAAAGTCATCTGGAATGAAGAAGAAAGCCTTCATGCAGGACTCCCAGAGTTTTTCATTGGATTCATCTTCAATGATTCCTACTTCTTCATCTTACCCCAGACATGCTCAATAATGTTCATGTCTGGTGACTGGGCTGGCCAATCCTGGAGCAGCTTCACCTTCTCTGCTTTGAGGAGCTTTGATGTGGAGGCTGAAGTATGAGAAGGAGCGCTATCCTGCTGGAGAATTGTCCCTCTCCTGTGGTTTGTAATTTCAGCATATGTTTTACGCAGCGGATGCCCTTCTAGGTGTAACCCAGTACTGGGAAACACCCATACACACTCTCATATTCACACAAACACTTTTTTCCCTTTTAAAAAAACACTTAACTGGGAACACAGATATATAAGAATATAAGACCGGTACTCACGTGTATAAATACACAGGACATTATGAACTCAAATACAAATAGGTAAAACTAATAAATGGTGGAACTAATAAAAACACAAATATTGTAAAAAGCGGGAAAACTGACCAAAGGAATCACGTGGTACAAACAAAAGTACATAGAAAACATGATAAACACTGACGTCTTCTTCAGCAAAGACAGAGTAGATTAGGAAATAATGGACATACCGTGAAGAGTCTTATTCTTTATACTCTTACATTTGCCAAACATTTGGCCAGTTATTCGTTTCTCAATAGACGCCCACTGTTCATTTCTCAAAAGATTATCTGGGTGGGTGTGGAATTGTCTGGCCTGAAATTGTGTCTAAGTCCGCCCCTGTTTCTTAATAAGCACACCACAAGTTTTTCTACCACTTGAATATTTGAGGACCACAGAAGAGCAGAGGACAACAATGAAGATGACACCGAGAATACACCAGCGGAAAACACTGCATCCTGCAAAACACGGAATTGAGGATTGAAAGAAAAAGATCAGTCAGGTTACATGAAAACAACAATCTGTATCATAATCAACTCATACTGTAGCTGTGATGATTGATTTCACAGTTTTTGTTGCTCGTTAAAGCTTAAAATGCATTTTTGATGCCGTTTTGTGTGATTTATCAGCCATTTTTACTCAGAGACAAAAAAGGTCAAAATTTACAGGTATTGCTATATTTGTGGAGACATTTGGTCACAACAACTATCACCACAACTACAACACTGCAACTATAGTAACTAATCTGCCGTGGTGATTCTGCAGTTGCTATGGTAACACAACAACTATTGTAACTATTCTGTTGTGGTGATTCTACAGTTGCTACGGTAACACAACAACCATACTAACTAACCTGTTCTGGTTATTCTACAGTTGCTATGGCAACACAACAACTATTGTAACTAATCTGTTGTGGTGATTCTACAGTTGCTATGGCAACACAAAAACTATAATAACTAATCTGTTGTGATTCTACGGTTGCTATGGCAACACAACAACTATAATAACTAGTCTGTTGTGGTGATTCAACAGTTGCTATGGCAACACAACAACTATAGTAACTAATCCACTGTGGTGATCCTACAGTTGCTATGGCAACACAAAAACTATATTACCTAATTTGTAGTGGTAATTCTATAGTTGCTATACTAATATGAAGAAATGAGCCAAAATGTACAGGTATTGCTATACTTGTGGGGACATTTCGTCCCACAATGTAATGAAAACACAAACACTTTCAAACAAGCATTTAAAATCCTATTCTACTTTTCTGCATTTCACATCTGCTCCAGCTTGATGTTAATCGATGTTTTTAAGCTTTTTTTGTTTTGCTTATTTGCTCAACGGTGTAAATTGTGTTTCATTAAAGCATCTGCTAAATGCCTGGTTATTCATAATTACAAAATGGAAAAGAACAGAAGAATATGAGCTGAACTGAAAATACAATTAAACAAAATTTATTTAAAAATCTAATTAATATTAAAAAAAAAAAATATATATATATATATATATATATAAATATATATAAATACTCACCGGTGAGATTGACATGGAGGACACTTCCTGAAGCACTTCCATACTGGTTTGATGCTGTACAGATGTAAACACCATTCAAATCAACTGAGGATTTTGGCAAGAAAAGCTTGTTGCCTTCATAACGAGGAGCTCTTCCCTCACTTTCATTCATTCTGTGAATAATGACACACGGGTAATGATATGACAACACTACCTCACCAGTATGTATTTACCAAACAAAGAGATGGAAATTTGCAATACATATAGTGTATAAATACAGTTGAAGTCTTAAGTATTCACCCTCCTGTATTTTCCCCCCAATATCTGTTTAAAGGAGAGAAGATTTTTATTCAACACATTTCTAATCATAATAGTTTTAATCATTCATCTCTAATAACTGATTTATTTTCTCTGTGTCATGATGACAGTAAATAATATTAGACTAGATATTCTTCAAGACACTAGTATTCAGCTTAAAGTGACATGTAAAGGCTTCACTAGGGTAATTAGGGTAAAGTTAGGGTAATTAGGCAAGTCATTGTATAACAGTGGTTTGTTCTGGAGACAATCCAACACTAATTAGGCCGAATTATTTTGAGTTTATATGTGATAATATGTGGTCTAAACTCACTATAGTTTGACAAATACTGGTTGTTAGACTACATAATTCACTTTTGAGACACTTTAAGGCAAGAATATAAATGTTTAGATTCATTATTTGTAAGAATAGTGCCTATTTGAAAATATGTTTGGAGGGTTTTGGAGATCCAGGGTTTACTAGCGCATCTGGTGTACGTCTGATGTATGTCTGTGTAGTGGTTTAAATAGAAAAATAATTTGCTTTAGGTATATCTAACAGAAATATTTGATAATATTTGCGCAGATTTGATGGCAATGTTAAGTGTTACTTGCCTTTTTGACAGATTTTCAAACTTTATATTGGTTTACATAATCCAAAATAGATAAGTAAATTAAGCTTACATTTATTCATTCATTTAATTTTCCATCAGCTTAGTCTCTAATTCAGGGGTCGCCACAGTGGAATAAACCACAAACTATTCCAGCATATGTTTTACAAAGCGGATGCCCTTCTAGCTGCAACCCAGTACTAGGAAACACCCACACCCATCACACTCACACACTACGATTAATTTAGTTCATTAAATCACCTATATCGCATGCGACTGTGGGGGAAACCGGAGCACCCGGAGGAAACCCACACCAACACGGGGAGAACATGCAAACTCCACACAGAAACGCCAACTGACCCAGCTGGAACTCGAACCAGCGACCTTCTTTTTGTGAGGCCACAGTGCTAACCACTGCCACCTCAATTAAGCTTACATAGTACTTTTTTTAAAAGCAGTAATGATCAAACTATTCATTACCGCTTCCAGATGTAAGTTGGTGTTGGGTTACAGTCCACTTCACAATGATATTCTTCAGCCTCTGCTGGGTTATTTGGATCATCAGGACTGATAATCACCAGATCTGGAGGATCTAAGAGACAAACATCCCAAATAAAGATAAACCAAAATACAACAATACTGACTACCGACAAAGATGATTTAAAACTCGTTCGTGATTTTGGTAGACTCGTAACGTGCTAAATAGCGTGTTCACCACTGACACCCATAACAGGAAAAACAACACAGGCTAGATTTCTCTCCGAACATAAAAATGAACACAGAAATATAATGAACCAAGGGGAAACAATAAAATAAACAACAGTTACAATCATTAGCTGGAGTGCCCACCAGACTAACTTGAGGGCACTCCAGCTATATGTACACTCCAGCAGCCGTTCACCTGGACTTCACGTCCCATCATGCTTACCAGCCACAGCTGATTTCAATCTGGACACTGACACACTCACAGAGCTGCAGGTCATCATCAGTAGTTATGTTTCCCAAAGATGCGAATTAAATTAATGATATTAAGATCACCGTCTACTGATGTTACACTTTGACGTTGTATGGACGTCACATTATGACATTAAGATGACATTTGACTTTGGTTAGTTAATGCCATAACCTAAAATCAACCATAGATCAACGTCTACTGATGTTATACTGATGTTGTATGGACATCTTGTTATGACATCATTTGACGTTCAACTGACATTGGATTTTTGGTTCTCCTGAAGTCGCAACCGAAACATTCAACCCAGGCTCATTGTGGAAACGTAGCCCCGCGGACGTTTCTGGAGACCGCAAAATACGTTCCGGGAGGTACGTATTTGTGCAGTTTTTGTTTTCGCGAATCTGCGAGAGGCCGATGTGTGCGCTTTTTCGCAGCCGCGCTGTTCTCACGTGAAAAGCAGCTGGAGGCCGCTGTTGAGCGACCGTCTGTCCGACTAACTGAATGACTGAACGATCGACTGGGCGACCCAGCCATCCTCCTCCTCCCTTAAACCCAAGCGACGATTTACAAAAGCAGTCCAGAATAGAAAAGCAAAAGCCCTCGTCCGATTTTAACCGCGTTTTCGGATTTCACCGCGTTCTCGCCCCATCACGAACTTGTTCGCTTTTATTTTTTGGATTCTGTTTTTCATCTTCCCTGATTTCTGGAATCGCTCTTCCCCGGACTCGAACTAGGTCGTCGCCGCGGACGGCTCCTCCTCCTCCGGGCCTACATAGCACTATGAGCTAAGCGGACAAACTGGTTGCGGCGGGAAAGCCCTCCACACGGAGGTGAGCCGTCAGCCGGTGAGCGCGAAGAAGAGGAGCATGTCACACCGCCCCGTAGCGTTCGCTCGAAAAAAACGAAATGCGGCCATACGTACCTCCGGCCACGTAAATTGCGATTTCCAGAAACGTCTGCAGGGCTACGTTTCCAGAATGAGCCTGGGTTGAAAATAACCAAATACCATTATATGACGTTGTGTGCCTGCTGGGTACTGACCAGACTCATTCTGAAAACGTAGTCCAGCAGGTTTCTGGAGACCGCGAATTATGTAGCCAGAGGTACATATGGCTGCATTTAATTTTTTTTAAGCGAACGCTACGGCGCGGTATGACTTCTTTTCAGACCTTGACACGCAGAGAGGAGTTGACCCCGATGATGACGACTGCGTTTGAGTCTGGGGAAGAAAGGTTCCAGAAATCAGGTAAGACAAAAACAGAAACCAAAAAATAAAACGAACGAGTGAAGAACAGGGTGAGAATGTGGTAAAATCTGAAAACGTGGTGAAAATCGAACGAGGGCTTTTCTTTTTCTGGACAGCTTTTGTAAATCGTCAGTTGGATTTAGGGAAGTAAGTGGGTGGGCGGGTCAATCGGTAAAATTGGTTGGGTTTAGGGCTGGGTTTTTCAAAGTCTAAGACAGTGGGCCTCCCTTTTTACACAACTTATCCATTGGCGCCCCCCTCCTCTCAAACACACACGCAAACACACACACACACACACACAGACATACACACACACACACACACACACACACACACACACACACACACACACACACATACACACACACACACACACACACACACATACACACACACACACACACACACACACACACACACACACACACACACATATACAGTATATATAAAGACACAGACAGATGTCAGACTGTTAACTCACTTTTATCATCATTTGCATGAAAGTGCAATTATTTACAGAGTAATAAGTATTTTAATATAACGTTTTCAAAACTAGGATGATGGTTCAATATGAATAGAACAGATCCAAGAACTGTCCATCCCAGTCAAAACAGACGAAGTTTAGCGGGTCTCATGCTGTCATTAGCCAAAATATCTTGACAAACCACACATAAAGGTCGTGGTTCATCAGCTGGTCCTGTCCACGTAAATCCTAAACTCAAATACTGATAATCATATCGTCGTCTTTTGGGTTTAAGCCCTGAACTTGAAGGCTTTGAATCGGGGGGTCTCTGAAACCGATCCATTGTATCAGCAGGCATATACCCGTATTGGCGGGCTTGCCAAACAGAAGCGAATTCAAAGCTATGGCCTTCTGGGTAAAAAAGGTTTTCTTATATTTGACGTATTATTTTTTTTGATTTGTTTAATTAAAACGTTTAAATATAATAAAAAATACATATAATAATTAACCTTAATAATTATATTGTTATTATATAATATTTTTTTCCGCGCCTCCCCTGACATGCTCTGGCGCCATCCAGGGGAGGCGCGCCTCACACTTTGAAAACCCCTGGTTTAGGAAAAGAGGAGGGTGGGTCAGTCGATTGGCCGGCCGGCCAGTCAGTCATCCACTCATTCAGTCAGTTAGACAGACGGTCAGTCGACAGCGGCCTCTGGTGGGTTTATGCAAGAACATCGCAGGCGCAAACGGCACTCGCAAGAGAAATTTGAGATATGAAAGACCACACACAGCGGCCTCTCGCGGATTCGCGAAAACAAAAACTGCAAAAATACGTACCTTCCGGGACATACTGCGGTCTCTAGAAACGTCCGCAGGGCTACGTTTTTCAGAATGAGCCTGGGTTGGTTAAAGCAGGGTAGGAACTAAACTGTGCAGAGCTGCGGCACTCCAGGAACTGGCTTTGACACCTGTGCACTAAGCTGAAAAATTGTCAAATCAGTCTGGAATTTTCCTCACCATTCTCTAAATTATTATTGTGGATCCACATATAATCCCTACTGCCTAATGCTAGACAAACTTTTGTCAGATGCTTTACAATGTGCTGGCTCTGCTGATTTGTCCATTAATAAACCCTGTTACATACATTTTTATCATCGCATAATCTTTTCAAACTAAATCTCATGACTTTTTTTTAATGTGCATGCTGGAATGTATTTGGTAAATGGTGTTTTCATCAGTGTTTATGCGCATTTTTACATAGAAATATAAAAAGTTTATCCCACTTTTATGCACATTTTCCAAATTTATGCCCATCTTGGGGTTTCCATTAAGCATTTTTCCTAACAAGCTCATAAAAACAGGTGGATTGAAAGCTGAAGTGTTCACTGTTGTAGTGACTTGTATTTTCAGAACAGTGTAAACATACAGTTTACAACATTTATATACTTTTCAATACGACTATATTAGTTAAAGTTAGTTAATGTATGTTTTAAACATAGACAAACAGCAAACAACATGCTTATTACAGTATGTATTCATCTTTCCTAATGTTAGTTAATGAAAATACAGTCATTTATAATTAGTGCATGTTAACTCACAGTGTATTAACTAATGTTATTACACGGCTGACTGGAATACTTGATTCCGAGACATTCCAAGGTATGTTATTCTCAGATAACAACCGCCATATAACACAGGCTCATCCAGGAACTGAGAATCCCCTTGACCATCAGTGAATACATGGCTTTTGATTGTTTGTCTCCATCTAGCGTCTGAATAATGCGCAGGTTAGTGTATACTCCATCAGCTGTTTTAGTTTCTGTTGTGTTTTTGGCTGTTTGTCTCCATCTAGTGTCTGAATAATGCGCAGGTTAGTGTATACTCCATCAGCTGTTTAGTGTCTGTTGTGTTTATGACTATTTGTCTCCATCTAGTGTCTGAATAATGCGCAGGTTAGTGTATACTCCATCAGCTGTTTTAGTTTCTGTTGTGTTTTTGACTGTTTGGCGCCATCTAGTGTCTGAATAATGCGCAGGTTAGTGTATACTCCATCAGCTGTTTTAGTGTCTATTGTGTTTTTGGCTGTTTGTCTCCATCTAGTGTCTGAATATTGTGCAGGTTAGTGTATACTCCATCAGCTGTATTAGTGTCTATTGTGTTTTTGACTGTTTGTCTCCATCTACTGTGTGAATAATGCGCAGGTTAGTGTATACTCCATCAGCTGTTTTAGTTTCTGTTGTGTTTATGACTATTTGTCTTCATCTAGTGTCTGAATAATGCGCAGGTTAGTGTATACTCCATCAGCTGTATTAGTTTCTGTTGTGTTTTTGACTGTTTGTCTCCATCTAGTGTCTGAATAATGTGCAGGTTAGTGTTTACTCCATCAGCTGTTTTAGTTTCTGTTGTGTTTTTGACTGTTTGTCTCCATCTAGCGTCTGAATAATGCGCAGGTTAGTGTATACTCCATCAGCTGTTTAGTGTCTGTTGTGTTTATGACTATTTGTCTCCATCTAGTGTCTGAATAATGCGCAGGTTAGTGTATACTCCATCAGCTGTTTTAGTTTCTGTTGTGTTTTTGACTGTTTGGCGCCATCTAGTGTCTGAATAATGCGCAGGTTAGTGTATACTCCATCAGCTGTTTTAGTGTCTATTGTGTTTTTGGCTGTTTGTCTCCATCTAGTGTCTGAATATTGTGCAGGTTAGTGTATACTCCATCAGCTGTATTAGTGTCTATTGTGTTTTTGACTGTTTGTCTCCATCTACTGTGTGAATAATGCGCAGGTTAGTGTATACTCCATCAGCTGTATTAGTGTCTGTTGTGTTTATGACTATTTGTCTCCATCTAGTGTCTGAATAATGCGCAGGTTAGTGTATACTCCATCAGCTGTTTTAGTTTCTGTTGTGTTTATGACTGTTTGCCTCCATCTAGTGTCTGAATAATGCGCAGGTTAGTGTATACTCCATCAGCTGTTTTAGTTTCTGTTGTGTTTATGACTGTTTGCCTCCATCTAGTGTCTGAATAATGCGCAGGTTAGTGTATACTCCATCAGCTGTTTTAGTTTCTGTTGTGTTTTTGACTGTTTGTCTCCATCTAGTGTCTGAATAATGCGCAGGTTAGTGTATACTCCATCAGCTGTTTAGTGTCTGTCAGCTTTGTGTTTAATTAAAGGATTTGTATCATTAAAACTATTATGGTTCAGAACAACATTTTGTGTCTAATTTAATGTTTTGTTTCATTACTAGCTTAATAAACTACTTAGTAGCTGTTTATTATTGTAAGGTATAAGTTGGGTTTGGGGTAGAATTAGGGATGCAGAAAACGATCATACAGCTAATAACTTAATAACAGGCAGACAATATAGCATGAATTGTGACCTACACTAAAGTGTTACTGCTGAACTACAAGTATTGTCCATTGTTAATAAATGCCATAATTATCATTAACGAACAAATTCTAATTGTAAAGTGTGACTGTGTGACTGTGTTATAAAGTACTGTACATTTGACATATTTGATATATATTACTCACAGTGGACATTGATCTGGTACTCTAACTCCAGGTCCTCTGTGAATGTGATGTGCTGGACCACACACTGGATCTTCTTCTGGTGTAAATGTTTGGATGGCACACCATATATGTGGGACTGGACTGTGAAGGTGCCGTCTGAGTGCTCCGTGGAGCTGGTATGTGTGTTCAGTGAGGTGTTCAGGGCTCCTAATCTCCAAAACACTCGAGCTGCCGGCCGGGCTCCTGAAGCCATACATGAAGCCAGATCAACACTGAAAGCTCCGGAAACATGAGTACTCCCCATCACACTACCCACAGGAGGAACTGGGAAAACAAAACACAACAAATCAATTAGGGCTTTTTTGAACATGGCTATGTGAGGTGGACACTTCCTTTAAAGACAACTAAAAATATAAATACATTGCGTTTTTGTCAATTTATTCAAATACACCCCCCCCCCCCCACCCAATGTTTTAAATGTACTATTGCATTTATTGATCAGCATGGTGGCTGAGTGGTAAGCACTGTGGCCTCACAGCCAGAAGGTCACCAGTTCGAGTCCCGGCCGGGTCAGTTGGCATTTCTGTGTGGAGTTTGCATGTTCTCCCCATATTAGAGTGGGTTTCCTCCGGGTACTCCGGTTACCCCCACAGTCCAAACACATGCACTATAGGGGAATTGGAGGGGGACTATTATGCAAACAAACCAACCCAGGCTAATTCTGAGAACATAGTCCCGCGGACGTTTCTGGAGACCGCAAAATACGTCCCGGGAGGTACGAATCTGTGCAGTTTTTGTTTCGCGAATCCGCGAGAGGCCCCTGTGGAAAGACCGTCTATCTGACTGGCTGAATGATTGACATTGATCGGCCAATCAATCGAATCAATAAAGGCCTACCCTCCTCCTCCCCTAAACCCAACCAGTTTTACCGATTGACCCGCCTGCCCGCCCACTTCCCTAAACCCAACCAACAATTTACAAAAAAAAAAAGCCGTCCAGAAAAAGAAAAGCCCTCGTCTGATTTTTACCATGTTTTTGGATTCTACCACATTCTCAGCCCGTTATGAACTCGTTCACTTTTTTTTTTGGAGTCTGTTTTTGTCTTACATGATTTCTGGAACCTTTCTTCCCCAAACTCGAACCTGGTCGTCATTGTCGCCTTGTTCAACTTCTCTTTGCGTCTCAAGGCCGCGGACGTACGGGATGAGTTAACCAGACAAACTGTTTGCGGGGGAAAAGCCCTCCACATGGAGGTAAGCGGTCAGCCGGCAATCGCAAAAGGGAACGGCGTCACAAACGCCTTTACTACATTTAAACTGAAACTGCGGCTCATAACAAAGAGCAATATTGTGCCGGTGGTCATCGCGGGAATCCTGCTTTGCCTGGTCATATATTGGGTCGGCTGACTCGCCTGTTGTTTTCCACAAACACAGAAAAATGTAAATCAGCTCTTAACGAGACTGAGCATTTACAATGACACAAACAGAAACCAAAACCTTTAAAGAGTGATAGAAATGAGACTGCTTTCTCAAGACAATGCAAAACCACATTCTGCACACATCAAACTGCAAAATCCACCCACCTTAAGACTTGTTTGCAAGAGCAAACCTACACCTAAAACACTTCACTTGGTATCTTCAGTCCCTAAACGTCTTTTAAGTGTTGTAAAAAAAGGAACGGCAACATTACAAAGTGGTAAATGCTTTACTGATACAAACTTCTTTTGAAATGTGTTCCAAGAACCAAAATTGTTTAGATACAGTTAAAGTCAGAATCATTAGTCCCCCTTTTTCCAAAAATCACTTTAAGGACAACAGTATTAGCCCATTTAAGCTATATTTTTTTTCGATAGTCTACAGAACAAACCATCATTATATAATAACTTGCCCAATTACCCTAATTAACCTAGTAAAGCCTTTAAATGCACTTTAAGCTGAATACTAGTGTCTTGAAGAATATCTAGTCTAATATTATCCACTGTCATCATAGCAAAGATAAAATTAAATCAGTTATTAAAAAGGAGTTATTTAAACTATTATGTGCAGAAATGTGTTAAACAGAAATTGGGAGAAAATAAACTAATAATAAACTAATAATTCAGAGCAAATTTATATATCATATAAATCATGAGGAACACATTAAATAATGTTTGTTTTATTTTCTGCGATTAAATACAAGTCAAAGTAAATTTTGAAATCACTACTTGCTTTTTTATTTTCATTTTTCATACTGTCCCAACCTTTTTTTGATTTGGGGTTGTAGTTTGAATGTATTTTTGCCTGTTCATTCATTCATTTTTTTATTCGCCAACTTATCCACCACATGTTTTACGCAGTGGATGCCCTTCCAGCCGCAACCCAGTACTGGAAATATTTTTGCCTGTATTCTACAGAAAGAATACTGATTACAGTTTTTCTAGTTTGCTTTGACCTGGTTAAAGAAACTAGGTTCCTCTTCATTTTCCTCATCACTATCCCAGCAGAGCAGAGAACCGGTCTTGCAAATGTGTAAACCCTTTCTCATTGGGTTGACACATTTTCCCTACCATTTTTCCAAACAGTTACAGTTTTTCTTGATTGCTTGGATGTAGTTGTCAGATGAAACTCCACATTTTCAAAACAGTTAACACACAGGCCTAAACAGCGGCACTCATGGTCAAAATGACACATTTTGCTTGCAAAAGGCACATATCATGTCAAAACATTTAAAATATGCAACAAAAGCTAGTTTTACCTTCAAACAACACAACTTACAAACAAGTATATGAGCTCTTCAATTAATCATTACACAATGGACAACAAAATACAGAACTCAGTGCACCACCATTGCTTGTCATTGTAGCCTATTGCCAATGCCATTTGTTGTCTCTATTTGGGCTGTCAAATTCGCCTTTTTGCAAAGAATTGAATCCAGAATAAGAAATGCTTTGATTACATTTATATTGAATTCATGACAATTTTCAAACTGTGGCTGAAAACTGAAATACTGTAAAAACAGACAAAAGTAATAAAATACTGTAAGTATTAGAGAAAACACATGTAAACCATATACAGTCAAAACTATTGGGAGTATAAGACATAGCCACTATTGACCTCCTCCATCCATGCTGTCACAGAACAACACAGACCCTCCACCGTTTTATAAGGTTTGCAGACTGATTGCTTTTTGAATATTTGTGTGTAGTAGTGTCAAACCGGTGCTTCACTGAATTCATATTGATGTTGGTAGTTTCTAATAGTTAGGAATAGATGGTTTCTGTTTGGTTACCATAACTAAAACAATGGAGCTTGGACTGCTTGAATGACATCTGTGTTAGCTGTTTTGAAAAATGGTGGGGAAAATGTGTCAACCCAATGAGAAAGGGTTTACACATTTGCAAGACCGGTCTTTTGCTCTGCTGGGATAGTGAAAATGAAAATGAAGTGGAACCTAGTTTCTTTAACCAGGTCAAAGCAAACAAGAAAAACTGTAACACAGATATCATTCAAGCAGTCCAAACTCCATTGTTTTAGTTTTGGTAACCGAACAGAATCCATCTATTCCTAACTATTAAAAACTACCAACATCAGTATGAAATCACTGAAGCACCGGTTTGACACTCCTTCACACAAATCTTCAATTAGCCATCATTCTGCAAACCTTATATAAACGATGGAAGCTCTGTGTTGTTCTGTGCCAGCATTGATGGAGGAGGTCAATATGGCTGTGTCCTATACTCCCAATAGTTTTGACTGTATATGGTTTACATGTGTTTTCTCTAATATTTACAGTATTTTATTACTTTTGTCTGTTTTTTTTATATACAATATTTCGGTTTTCAGCCGCAGTTTGAAAAATGTCATGAATTCAATATATATTCAATCAAAGCACATCTTATTCTTGATCCAATTCTTTGCAAAAAGGCGAATTTGACAGCCCAAATAGAGACAACAAATGCCATTGGCTATAAGCTACAATGGCAAGCAATGGTGGTGCATTTTGAGTTCTGTATTTTGTATTTTGTTGTCCATTGTGTAATGATTAGTTGAAAGAGCTCATATACTTGTTTGCAAGGTGTGTTGTTTGAAGGTAAAACTAGCTTTTGTTGCATATGTTAAATGTTTTGACATGATATGTGCCTTTTGCAAGCAAAATGTGTCATTTTGACCATGAGTGCTGCAGTTTAGGCCTGTGTGTTAACTGTTTTGAAAATGTGGATTTTCAGTTGACAACTGCATCCAAGCAATCGAGAAAAACTGTAATACAGTAATTACTATATTTTGGTTTGTATTTTTATTGGTATAGGCCTTTAACATCTTGGAAAAGGGACCACCAATGAAAACTAGTCTTTTGGATTTATTATGTCCCTTGTGAAAAATAAAAATACACAATCACACCAAGTCCTCAAAGTATTCACAGTCATCAGAAAATATGAATTTTCTCCCATGCACTGCAGATCCTCTCTCACGTGTTGACCGCATGCATTGATTTAGATGAATCTTGAAGTTTACTGGTAATAACATTTTCAACTGTGTTCAGAAATGGCTCAAGTCAAAATAACAGTAGCACTGTGTGAATTATTAAACGACCTTCAGACTTACCAAGTACCGTCACGCTGATGACTTTCTGGGCTTGTTGCTCATTAATGGTGAAAATGCACGTGTAAATTCCATCATCCACGAGCTTCAATCCCATTAGCTGAATCGATCCATTATTCTCCATGAGGTTCCCAACAAATCTAACATGATCCTGTAAATCACGGTGTTCAGTTCGACCGTCTTTGTGAATGATAAAGAAAGTCTCTGGTTGGTGGTTTTCGCTTGTCTGTTTCTGCCAAACAACACGACTTGTATTCTCTTGCGTCGCAGTCAGATCACAAAACAATGTGGCATCCTCTCCTATCATGACTGCTTTGTTATGAACAGAATTCTTGACGCCTGTAATATTAAAGAGAAACATTAGTAAGCAGATCACACACACTTTCTCTCTGTAAGATAATAAGCAAGGCAAACAGAAATGCAAGTGTTTGACTTACCGGCTGTGCTGATGCACTTGAGAAAACAGAGGAACAGGGTAAAAGCTTTTCTTTCCTCGAGCAGATGCATGATAACTTCAGCTGTTCAAACTTATCAGCTGTGCTATCTCTGTGTAATGTGACTGAATGCTAAACAGCCTTTAACTAATTAAACCGTGCCCAACACTATACTGAAATTACGTCAGATGAAGAGGATGTGGGAGGAGTGGAGAGAAAAAGAGCGCCACAAAGTTTGAGTCGACATGAAATATATGCAACTGTTGCATAATAAAGTTTTCTAAGGTTTTATTGTGGTTATGTCACAGCTCATAATGCCAAATGTCATAATGTGTTCTCTGCTGCACGCTGAGCAAATGTTTTGTTCAGTTTTTATCTCTCAATCTGAAGCACAACATTTTGCAATGCATGCCATCAAATTGCTGCACTTTAGGGCTACACAATATATTGTATAAAGTATAATAACTAAGTATAATAACTAATAGCAGATTGAAACTTTATCACTTGTTTGTGTTTTAAAGGCATTTGAGTGTAAAGCACTTGGGTACAATAACATGCAACATCTGTAAGTTAAATAAAAAAGAATGGGTCACTATTTATTTTGTTGAATTTAGCATGAACTCTGCATCTACATGCCAGCTAATTCTCATTAGATTATAAGTAGACTGTTAGGTTGGTGTTAGTGTAAGTTGACATGTACTTGCAAAGTGTCTTATAGTCAATTAAATGTCTGTTGAAGGAGCAGAATCAGCAGATTTTAAGCAGACAGTCTAATACGTATCCACAATGAGTCTGTGTTGCAACATATTACAGATGCAATGGGACGATGTGGATTAAAGGAACAAAATACAGCCAACATTCAGCCACAAGAGGACATTATTCAAAAGTCAACAGCTGGTGTTCGCTGTGCAAGAGACTTTTGTACATGGAGCACAAACGTGTATTGTTATTTTTGAGGAATGCCAAAAACGGCAACTGACTCAGCCGGGATTCAAACCAGCGACCTTCTTGCTGTGAGGCGACATCGCTACCCACTGCGCAACCGTGTCACCCCAAAGGGTTAAATTGATCAATAAATTAAATTATACTATTCACCTTATTCTCTGTGTACGAGCGGGCGCAGCCATTTGAATCTTTTTGGCTCGAGACTTCCGGTCTCATTCACGTTCATTCATTTTTATCCTGCTGAAAAATTCAGCTTAAACCAGCCTAGGATGGTTGGCTGGTTTTAGCTGGTCGACCAGGCTGGTTTTAGAGGGGTTTTGGCCATTGCCAGGCTAGTTTCCAGCCATTTCCAGCCTGGTCTTAGCTGGTCAGGCTGGAAAGTGACCAGCTAAAACCATCTAAAACCAGCTTGACCATTCTGGTTTAAGCTGGACATAGCTGGTTTTGGCTGGGCTCCCAGCCTGGCTAGGCTGGTCAAGCTGGTTTTAGCTGGTCATCTCCCAGCCAGTCCAGCTAAAACCAGGCTGGAAATGGCTGGAAACCAGCCTGGAAGTGGCCAAAACCTCTCTTAAACCAGTCTGGTCAACCAGCTAAAACCAGCCAACCATGCTAGGCTGGTTTGAGCTGGATTTTTCAGCAGGGTAGACATTAAAAACTGCTCGTTTCGCTGTTTGATGTTGCAAACTGATGTTTTCTTATTATATTATTCTACTTGGTCTGTATAGTCATGCAAACATTTGTTTGTAGAGATAGTAGTTTGACCGTTTTCTGCCGTTTATTATTCCTAGTAAACTGAATCGGAAGTTTCAAAACAATCGCGAAAACATGCGCACCTCCGCATTTAAGAATAAGATCAATAGTCGCAATTATTAGATGTGTTTCTCAAACCTGCCTGTTTTTATTTATTTATTAAATATTCTACAGTTTCAGGGCTGGTAAACCTCATAAACATTCTTCTTAAAAGAAACTTTACCTTTGCTAAATGTTATTAGGGAAATATAGTTCAAAACAATACCAAATTAGGATTTTTATAACAATATATAAACTTATAACAATAGCAGAACCCTTTCTGATGCTAAATAGAACCTTTGTCATAAGTCTTATATAAAGATCTATGCTTTGGAAGTGCTCTAGAACACGATATTTTCATAAATAGTATTAATGTTGGTCATAAGAGTGGGCCTATATATTTCATTAATTGCACATAGGCCTACAGTTACCGATTATTTTTTATTGATATCAACTTATAGTGAAAATGACAATTCATACAACAGTTTTAAGTTGAACACATTTTCTCAGTTGAACTTTATATTTTTGTGATTGTTATGCGCAAACCCAAGTAAACGTTTAGGAAAAAACACATCTGCTGCTCACACTGAGAAGTAGCATTCTTGGAAGAGCGGGTTGTTCTGTTAAACTAAAAAAGAAAAACAAGACAAGACTGGTAGGAAAGTTATATGTTTAAGTTAAAGTGTGTTTCGACACTTGATAACGAAATTACCTGCTGAGAGAGTTTTGTGTAGTCATGGTTGAGCTCCAGAAACTTCCGGCTGGCCGCATATGCGATCTAGAGTTTACCGCTGCAGGTGCTGCTTTGACGGTTACGGATTAAAAAAACAAAATGGCGGGAATAATAAACCACTCACAGAACGATTTTCTGGGTAAAGTCTAGATCGCATATGCGGCCGGCCGGAAGTGCGATATGCACATTAATAAAGCAGCATTTTTTATGACAGTGTATAACAATAATTAATATTTTTACAGTACTGTGAGGGTTGGGTTTAGGGTTGGGTTGGGGGTAGGCGTTAAAAAATACATTTTATTGGGTAATTTAATAGATAACTAATACTCGGTACAACAACTGATTTTACATTACTGTGACGGTTGGGTTTAGGGTTGGGGTGGGGGTAGACGTTAATAAAATACAACAAATGAGAAATTTAATAAATATTAGAAATATTTCTCGTTAACTTCCGGTCCGCTCTAGCAACAACCCGATTTCTGTAAAAAAAATAAAACTGGGATTTTTAAGGACAATGCGGTTCTGATAGAACACGGTTCTGACCTTTTTTTTTAGAGTGAAGCTGAGTTTGTCCTCTACACCTTTTTTGTGTACCAGATTTACACAGTAAAATATCTGTTAGGCTTACAGTTTCTGTACTGATTTTGTTTTGTTGTTTGTGAATTGCATTATGGGACCTTAATCTCTGTCCACTTTTGATGTTAAAAATTCAACAGTTTAACAAAGTGACTGTTCTTAACACTTTATCCCAGCGAAAAAAACAGCTTAAACCTGCTTAGGCTGGTTGGCTGGTTTTAGCTGGTCGACCAGGCTGGTTTTAGAGGGGTTTGGCCACTTCCAGGCTGGTTTCCAGCCTGGTCTTAGATGGTTAGGCTGGGAGATGACCAGCTAAAACCAGCTTGACCAGCCTAGCCAGGCTGGGAGCCCAGCCAAAACCAGCTATGACCAGCTTAAACCAGGCTTGTCAAGCTGGTTTTAGCTGGATTTAGCTGGTCATTTTCCAGCCTGACCAGCTAAGACCAGGCTGGAAATGGCTGAAAACCAGCCTGGAAGTGGCCAAAACCTCTCTAAAACCAGCCTGGTCGACCAGCTAAAACCAGCCAACCAGACTAGGCTGGTTTAAGCTGGATTTTTCAGCAGAAAAAAATTTGAAATATTATAACGTATAAGAAATAAGATATAATTTATATATTCATTCATTTTCTTTTTATTAATCAGGGGTCATCACAGCAGAATGATCCGCCAACTTGTCCAGCATATGTTTTACGCAGTGGATGCCCTCTAGCTGCAACCCATCTATGGGAAACATTCATACACACTCAGTCTACTGTAGGGGAAACCGGAGCACCCGGAGCAAACCCTCGAACGTGGGAATGCAAACTCCACACAGAAACGCCAACTGACCCAGCCGTGGCTTGAACCATGCGACCTTGCTGTGAGGCGACAGCACTAGGCCTAAGATATAATATATAGAGAAATGATACAATATATAGATAAATAAGTGTGTAAAATAACAGAAAATGTGCTGCAGTTTATTACAAGGTTTTTGTAGCGTAATATACAACACCAACCCAGACAATACAGCACTGCAAACTATTAGAAATGTTCATAAAAGTCACTTTTCCGAAAGTTGTTGGGAGAAAGATCAAGGTCCTATAATGCAATTCAAAAGCATAAAGAAACGGGGGAAATAAATAAATAAAAAACTTGAATCACAAAACAAGGAAACCTGCTAATGTACGGATGGCTTTTACTGTGAGAAAGCTGCAAAACTCTCTTTGTCCACTAGATGTCGGTGGAGCTGCAACTTTACCTCAAGTGTTTTCAAAGTGAACTTAAGGCATAATTTAACAGACCATTATGTACAATCAGTGGAGGTCTGTCGAAAAAAAATAGAAGGTATATAAATATGCATTTTATTAATGGTTTCTGGTAAACAATGGTTTTATTATGGTTTTAACCTATGGTTTATCCTTTACAACTCCAAATGAATATGGTTTTAAATACATAGTGTTTTGCAATATGTGACCCTTGAACAGAAATCAGTGTTCTGCTGCTCTGGTGTATTTGTAGCAACAGATAAAAACTAGATAAAAATTACAGATTTCTTTAATGCCAAAATTCATTAGAATATTAAATACAAAATCATTATCTACACTCTCAAAAGTAAATGGACCTGTCACTGGGTCAGTACCTCTTCAAAAGATACATATTTGTACCTAAAGGGTCCATAATGGTACCTCAAATGAACCGCGCAGTGACAGCTCCTGTACCTTTATTTCTGAGAGTCTACCTTTTTAGGTACCTTTTAGGTACAAAACTGGCCCTCAAGGAACATTATTTGTACCACTGAGTCCTTTTTTTCTGAGAGTGTATGGTTATCATTTTTGATGCAATAAAAATACTTCCTATTTTTGTCAAAGTGCTTATCATAATATTTTTTGTTTCACAAATGTGCATTTAAACGGTAAGTTATTACAGTTTTATATATAATGTAATGAGATCAGAATTTTAGAAACATGAAAAATACTTATTTTTAAATGCTAATTTATTGTTATCCATCATAAAAACAAAAAAAAACAAAAAGGGAATTTGTTAAAACTTGTTTTAAAACTAAAACTATAGCCTAAAGGCAAATAACAAACTGGCCAGCTCATTTCCTCAGTCAGAATTTGTCCATTTAAATAATAAAAGCCTGCTTTTATTGGCTATTTTATTGGTTATTCTTCTTAAAAACTTCTTCTGTTGGTTAATTTTGTAATTTAAGATCGCATACTGTCAAAAATGGGACAAATAAGCTCATATAGGGGCCAAATTCTGGACTTTGTCTTCAGGCCTTGAAGAATAAATACATTTATTCAAAATACACCACATCCAAAGTCATGCAATAGTGCAGTGCGCATGTCCAGCAGCCGATACTCTGTATCCAGTTGTGAGGAGACTCGTGAGAGGCTGGATGCGATTGCGTGCTCGTGACGTCAGCGGTGCACCTGCGAAGCGCTCTGTCGCATCATCACACCGGCGCTGCTTTCAGAATCCGCTCCGTCCGTCCGTCGTCACTCCCAAAACATGCTTCAATGGCACCGCCGCTGAACTTCCGCGCGTTTTTCACGAGGAGCGGCCGCTGTTTGAACTTTGATTCGGATAAACGAGCGCGCGTTCGGTATCTGGAGTGTCATCCGCGGATGACTAAATAACAGCAGCGATGGCCGGGGCAAACATGGTGTTTTCGGACGTCGAAACTTTCTTGGATGAGCACCCGGAATTGCTGGAGGACTACCTGAATAGAAAGGGCAAAGCGAGCATGGTGGAAAAGTGGATGAAGAGCCATCCGAAAACTCCGGAGAAAGCGGCGAGCGCGTGCGCGAAGGACAGCTGGGCGAGCCGCGGAGACGGGCTGCAGAGACGGGCGTCGCAGAAAGAGCTTCGGAAGACCTTCGCCAGGTCCAAAGCCATCAACGCGAACAGGACTTACGACGAGCATGTGAACTCCAGAGCCCAGGAGCCGCTGACCAGCATGCGGAGGCGCGCGCTGCTGCGTAAAGCCAGCTCCTTACCGCCGACCACCGCGCACATCCTCTCCGCGCTGCTGGAGTCCCGGGTCAACATCCCTCAATACCCGTCCACCGCTGTAGACTACAAATACTACCTAAAAGAGCACAACGAGCGGGAGTTTTTCCTGGAGCTCGTCAAAGACATCTCCAACGACCTGGATCTGACCAGCCTCAGCTATAAGATCCTGGTGTTCGTGTGCATTATGGTGGACGCCGACCGCTGCTCGCTGTTTTTGGTGGAGGGTCCGACTAATAAGAAGACTTTGGTGTCTAAGTTTTTTGATGTGCACGCGGGGACCACTGTGCTGCCATCGCTGAGCAACTCGGATGAGGTGCAGGTGCCCTGGGGAAAGGGCATCATCGGGTATGTGGCCGAGCACGGGGAGACCGTCAACATCCCCGATGCCTATCAGGTGAATGCTGCTGGAGTCTTTGCTTCTTGTGCGAATAAAAGGGGGAATAAATAATAAGGAGGTGGACAGTCTGCGTGTACATAGAGTAATAAGTGTGTATCAGTAGGTATTAGTGCGTATACAATGCGTATCAGTTGAAATCTTTTTTTATCTTTGGATTTTTTTGAGTCAAAAACAAGTCATAAGTTACTGGATTCTTCAAGAAGTCTTCTACAGAATAAAAAAAAGTATAATCAAAAATGTACGTGAACATTATATTCACATATAGCAGCTTAATGTGTGCATATCAGTAGCTTACACTGTACAAAAAAATCTTGGTTGCCTTAATTGTTTAAGCAGAATCAAATTTACCCAATGAGTCCATTGAACTTATATTATGTTAAACTGACTTAAAACTGGTTGCATATCTTATAAAATTAACTTAGACCATGATTAAAAGATCTTATAGTAGAGGAATTTTGTTGAGAGATCACACAAAAAGTCAAAAAGTCTATCTTATCTTGTTTATCTTGTGATTTCTCAAAATTCCTCTACCATAAGATTTTTAAATCATGTTCTAATTAAATTTTATAAGGTATATGTTAACAGTTTTAAGTCAGTTTAGAGGATAAATTCGTTTAGAAATCTTATACAGACTTCAAAAAACAGAACTAAAATATGAACATCATATCAGTGTGTATCCCCTCCAGTGACAGCTTGCGTACCTTTATTTCTGAGAGTGTATAACCAACCTTACATCAATGAAAAGCATATTTTTGCGGCTTTTGCGTGATGTATAAAAAAAAAAAAAGATTTCATTGACCTTTTAGTTGTTTTAAATACTATAAAGTATAATAAATAATATCTAGAGATAAATAAGTGTGTAAAATAACAGAAAATGTTACAAGGTTTTTGCACAGACAGTAAAAGATGATGTAGTATCCGTGACGTCACCCGTAGGTTTCTGATAAGCACAAATTAAGCTACAAGTGGGCGTGGCCAATTGTTGCTATTTTGTTTGCATGTAATCGCGCTAACCGGGGATAACCATAAAAGGGCAAAGAGGCGGAGCGTGAGCGGAGATACAAACTCCTGCTAGCATTTTTCTTAGACGGGCTTTTCTTTGGGAGAAACGCTTAATACTTAATAAGTACCTGCGACTTGTTTGTGTTCTGGCCACATGTGCTTGATTGTACACTATACTAATAAAGTGTTTAGTCTTTTAAAAACACTGCTGTAACACACTGAGCCTCAAAACATTGCTCTTATGACATTTTCCTACAGGAGGAAAACGCAAATTACTTCCAAACACTTCAGATATAGTCGTTGTTAGTAAATGCAAGGCTATTGATGAACTCCAGGCATAACACTGTATAACAACGCTTCAGATGACAGTTCTAGAGCCTGTAACTAATCAATCTGTCAGATTCTGGAGTGCATTACAGTACTAAAGAACATTATGATTGATAAATTATCCTAAATAAAACAAATACCTTTATAGAGATGGCATAAATATAATTTCACTCACCTGGGAAATGGCCATGTGAATGGTTTGTGAGCACATTTAAGTGCACTCAGCATGCCATATCATCTGATAACTGTAGGAAATAATCCCAAAAAGGCAGTTGACTGTGTAAGGCCTCATAAAACAACACAGAAATACAATATATATGCTGAGTTCAGCAGCTAATCAGCCGGAATCAGCTGAGGTGATGTGACGGCGACTAGCAAGACCTAGCTGTCACTCAAGTGGCCACGCCCTTAATTATGCTGACTTAATATTACTTAATAAAGTACAAATATAGCACTGCAAACGAATATAGATGACAACAAAAGTCTAACTTTTAAAGCTTAAAAGTTGCTGGTAGAAAATTCAAGATCCCATAATGCAACTCAAAAGCAGAAATAAACTGGGAAAAAAATAAAAACATGAAACACAAAATATGGAAAACTGCTCATTTATCTTTTACAATGTAGAAATTAGACAAAACCTCTATATTTTCCAGCATTTTAGTCCCCCCCGATTCTCATTTGATGTTAGTGTCAGGAAAGCATTAGCATTTTTTGACAGCCGGCTTTGCGTAGAGGTCACACACACGGCATACGGTTAATGAGTCTTCACACCGAGAGCTGGGTATTTTACTCTGACCCCTGACCCCACGCTTTGCTTTGATTATCCGCAAAATCCATGAAAGGCCTCGGTGAAATAATGAGTTGTGTGAGAGTATCGGAGTATTGATCAGCCAATCGATCAGCTTAGAGCGACTTCATTCAGGTATAGCCATGATGATGATGATGATGATGATAATGTCAGCTCGCAGTTTCTCTAATTAGTCTGTCAATCTGCGCTTGCCTTTTCATTTAGCAAGCCAAGCAGGTGATTAAAACTGCATTATTTACAGCAGTAAAACGCAGCATTTCTGAGACCAGATGGAGACATGAGCGTGAAAAGAGGCTCAGTGTGAACATTATTCATTAATATTTATTCACAATAGCGAGAGGTCGTAATACACAGCATTAATAAGTTATTATACACACCAAAATTGGTGTGGAATTTTTTTCTCTGAAGCAAATAACATTGCAGAAAAAATTAAATGTGAAATTTTAGTGGAAAAAAAAATGTAATTGATTTTTTTTACAGTGAATAAAGTGTATTTATTACTTTCAAACATGAATAATTTGCATTATATATATATATATATATATATATATATATATATATATATATATATCCCTCGCCGGTCCTGCTCCACCTGACCCGTTCTAAGCTGGGATCGAATCGGCGACCTTCCGCATGGGAGTTGGTTGCTCTAACAAGGAGGCTAAAGACCATGGCCCCTAGTGTCTGTCGCTAGAGCACCTTTAGAGGTCAGAGGAGTGAGGTTTACCTGAACAGCACTTACTAGCTGGCCTTTGGTACACTCATCCCCCTCTAAACCTCACTCCCATCCGGGTCACGGCACCACTGTAACCCTGCCGGTCCTTCGCCATCCAACCCACTCCAAGCTAGAATCAAGCTGGCGACCTTCCGCATGGGAGTCGGTTGCTCTAACAAGGAGGCTAATGACCATGGCCCCTAGTGTCTGTAGCTATAGCATTTATATATATATATATATATATATATATATATATATATATATGAACACTACTTGACTGTAAATGACACTGGTAGTGTGCGACAGCTGTATTTTGTATAAATATTTAACTTATTTCACAAGTTCATTAAGATACATCAACAGATACCAGATAAACAATATTTTAAAATGTTATTTTTATTGTTGGAGTTTAAAACTCTGAGTGTGCAACAAGGTGAAAACGGTGATTTTGACACCTAAAATGAGGTTGAATAATATAAAAAGTATATAATAGAAAGCTAGTACACTTTTTTAAAGTAGGTTTTAATGTTAGTTTGACAAAGAAAGAGGAATTTGAACAAAATTATACATATCAAAGGACATAAAAGTGCCCGTAGTTGAAGAATTACCCATATATATATGATTTTTTTGCGTGTCCGTTTACACGTTCTTTTATTTTTGACCCATATCTGATTCATGTGTTTACACTTGCCATACAATTCACAATGTGTGATTCACAATTCACAATGGGTTCTAGCATCTGCGCCACACTATAGCCACGATGGAAGAACTTGTCTTGTTCTTAGTTCTGCGAAATATGCAAAGTTCCCTCAACTGTAAAATGATTTTAGGGCGGAGGAGGAGGGAAAGGGCCGTCATCGCAGCTTGCGCCTGTGGTTTATATATGGTGTCCTCCACCATTCAGAGGAATTTGTGGGATCGAGAGAGATCTCAGGTCTGGTGGGAGCAAATTGTGGCGACTAACCACTTTCCTCCTCCGTGTTTCCTCTGTTGTTGTCTTTTACCGTTGTCTCCACACATGCTCTTCTGATCTGTTTACATGATAGTCGCATTGTCACACATCCGATCTCTGAATATTCGAATGCATGCGTTTTTTTCGTGTTTGCACGGTCATACAACAGATCCGATCTGTGTCACATCAGCAAAAAAATTGTAATTGGGTCATATATAACAGACAGTAAAAATGGAGCCAGAGAAATGAAACAGTGTGTTTTCTGCAGGTGGTTTGTCAGGCCCACTCACCTGTGTGAGGCACAGTAGGGGGAATTTTTTTTTTCCAGTTAAGTAATATCAACTTGATATTAAACTAATGATATCAAACTAATATTATACTAATATTAAAGCTACATGAGTGCATATTTTCTAACTGCATTTTTAAGCAAATTAATGTAACCTTGGTGAGTGGAAGAGTGCAAAATAAAATAATAAAATAAATCGTTTTAATGTCAGACCCTTTACTCAGTTTAGCTTCTTATAATCAGATTTCAGTACTGCTAAATAAATGCTTTTCTCACTTAGAGATTTGATCTCGATTCTAGTCCAAAAATCTAAAATATTCCTAAATCAAGAAGCCTTGACAAGCAAATAATATTGTCAGAATTTAAGTCAAAATGAAGTGAGTTTTCCCTTAAAACAAGCGAAATAATCTGCCAATGGGGTCAGCACAATAATCGTGCCGTCCGTTTTTAAATAACATAATTTCACTGATGCCATTGGCAGATTATTATGCTTGTTTTAAGGAAAAACTCACTTCATTTAAGTAAGAAAAGCTTGTTTTTACAGCATGTAAGTTTTTCTCCTCTTTCTCCTCTTTTACAGGACCATCGTTTCAGTGACGAGATTGATAAACTCACCGGATATAAAACCAAGTCTCTTCTGTGCATGCCTATACATAACAGTGACGGAGAGGTCATCGGGGTCGCACAGGCCATCAACAAGAGCCCCAATGGAGCGCTGTTCACCCAAGATGACGAGAAGGTACTGCTTGCGCAATGCTTTATGCTCAGGAAAAATGCTGGAAAAATCATAATATTATGTATACAGTTGAAGTCAGAATTATTAGCCCCCTTTTGATTTTTTTATTCTTTTTTAAATATTTCCCAAATGATATTTAAAAGAGCAAGGAAATTTTCACAGGATGTCTGATAATATTTTTTCTTTTAGAAAAAGTCTTATTTGTTTTATTTCGACTAGAATAAAAGCAGTTTTGAATTTTTTAAAAACTATTTTTGGGACAAAATATTATCCCCTTTGAGCTAATTTTTTTTCGATAGTCTACAGAACAAACCATCATTATAGAATAACTTGCCTAATTACCCTAACCTGCATAGTTGACCTAATTACCCTAGTGAAGCCTTTAAATGTCACTTTAAGCTGTATAGAAGTGTCTTGAAGAATATCTAGTCTAATATTATTTACTGTCAGCATAGCAAAGATAAAATAAATCAATTATTAGAGATGAGCTTAGAAATGTGCTGAAACAATCTTCCCTCCATTAAACAGAAATTGGGGAAAAAATAACAAGGGTGATAATAATTCAGGGGTGCTAATAATTCTGACTTCAACTGTATATATATGTATATTAATATATATTATAATATTAAATCTAGTTGTGCTTCAGTGTGTATCTTGCGCTGACGTCTGAGCGTGTGTGTTTATGTAACAGAGCTGTCACTGCAGTGTCGAGTGTTCATGACATGCTGTGTAAAGTGGAACAGTTAGCGTGAGTTGCCCTTGTCATCGCTTGTTCTGGATTAAGGCCGCGTGGTCAAGCACGCCACGCTATCCCGAAGAAGAAATAAAGTGTCTCATTAATGTTGACCTTCAGTGAGAATGAAGACTTTACGAACACAGGAGCAGTTCTCGCATGGCAGAGTCATTAATCAGCGGCGGCTGCTGAAACCCCCGAGCCCAACTGCTCTGTTTACAGCAGCTCCAGTGACACCGCAAGCACACATTTCAGCCGTAATGCACCAGATCACCTTAAATCAATACTTTAAGCTTAATATGAATGCTTGTATTATTTTACTTTCTATCAAATTGCACTCAGTGTGTTAAGGTAAACGATACACTTTCCAATGTTAGAGTAACTAGTGTAGGTGCACCTCAGGGTTGCGTATGCTGTCCTATCCTGTTTACTTTACATACCAATGATTGTTTTAATTTACATGAGAATAATTACATTATGAAATGCTCTGATGACACTGCAGTACTAAACCTACTGGGGAAAAATGTGGATATAATGAAATATAACAGTGGCACCGCACACATGCACACCTCAGCTGTAACATGCCAGACCACCTTAAAGTCTGTGTGAAATCAAAATTTGAAAAACACCCAACCCGGGCTCATTGTATAAACGTAGCCCCGCGGACATTTCTGCGGACCGCGATTTACGTCCCGGGAGGTATGTATTCGAGCGTTTTTTGTTTTCGCGGATCCGCGAGAGGCTGCTGTGCGCGCTTTTTCACGTCTCTTTTTGCACGCCGTTCGCGCCGGCGCCGTTCTCGCACGAAAAGATCGGCCGACCCGGCCTTCCTCCTCCTCCTTCCCTAAACCCGGGCGACGGTTCGCAAAAGCCGTCCAAAAAAAAAAAAAGAAAAAAGCAAAAGCCCTCGTCTTCGATTTCGACCACGTTTTCGGATCCCGCCGCGTTCTCGCCCTTATTTTTCGGATTCCGTTTTTCGTCTTACCTGATTTCCGGAACCTGCTGTTCCCCGGACTCGATCCCGGTCGTCGTCCACCGCGGCCGACTCCGGCTCCTCCTCCTCCTCTGGGGCCTCCGCTCCGCCGACGCAACGCTGTGAGCTAAGCGGACAAACTGATTGCATCAGGAAAGCCCTCCACTCGGAGGCGAGCCGTCGGCCGGCGAGCGCGAAGAGGAGGGGCGGAGCGGAGCGTTCGCTCGAAAAAAAACTAAACGTGTATGTACATACCTCCGGCCACGTAAATCGCGGTCTCCAGAAACTCAGGCTCATTCTGGAAACGTAGCCCTGCGGACGTTTCTGGAGACCTCGAAATACGTCCTGGGGGGTACGTGTTTGTGTAGTTTTTGTTTTCGTGAATCTCGGGAGCCCGCGCTGTTCTCGCGTGAAAAGCCGCCGGAGGCCGCTGTCGAGTGACCGTCCATCAGACTGACTAAATAACTGAACGATTGACTGGGCGGGCGACCCAGCCACCCTCTTCCTCAACCTTCCCTAAACAGCCGGCGAGCGGTGTTACACCGCCCCGTAGCGTTTGCTTGAAAAAAAAGCGAAATGCGTATGGAACAAAATCAATGCCTAAAGTCTTGAATTAAAAAGCTTGTTGAATATCACAAACTGAAAAAAATAATACACCGTATTAACAAGTTCTTGCGTTTTAATGACTTGAATTCCAGGGTTTGTATTTTTAGGTCCTGAAATTTAACATATCTGTTTATTTAAGCTGTGAATATTTCAACGAAAAATATTTCAAACACGTTTTCATACTTAAAAATTCAATAATTCATATTCAATTTTCAGATTTCACTTACAAAATATTCAATACCCTTTAAAAATACGATGTATAATATTCAAAAGGTCATTTTCAGTTCATTTTATTTCAGTTCAAATATTCGCTTCCATAAATTCAGTGGATCAAATTCGACTGTTAAAATTCAACATTACATCCGGGAACTGCAGGAGAAGCAATAGATTGCCGATTGAAGTTTGCCAGCTGCTCTAGCTTTCACCAGCAGGTGGAGATGGAATAATGTAAGATTTTTAACCCAGTAAACAGGCGAGAAAAAGCCTAATAAAGGCAAAAAAGTAGCATTCAATTTTAATATCAATGCCTTGGACATTATAAATAATAAAAAGTATGAGTAAAATGAGTAAATGAGGGTTTAGTCATTTATATTTGCCCTTATGTAACGGAAGCCAGCTGGTGATCGCGTAAAGCTCACCCCTCGGATCCAGGGACAGACGTTGTTCTGCAATCTTATCGGAGCTTGTCTCCCATGCTGGCTCGATAGGACCGGTGCGGTTACTTGCACATAAACCGTCTTTTGATGAATATGATGCTATTGACTCTTTCTTCCATAGACGCAAAGTATTATATTGACAGCTAAAGAATATAAACGTAAGAGAAACAGGAGAGGAAATATTATAATAATAATACAAAATAGATAAACATTGACAGGGCTAAGAACAATTACGAACAAAGATTTTCAAAACCAGAGAGATTTTATGAGAATGTCACAAAACAGTTTACTTGGAAATGTTAAACAGAGAGTTCAGGTATGATTTAAGGTTGGTTATGGATGGGGCGTCTGATTTAAAATAATTTAACATGCGAATGCATTAAAGGGGCGTCTTCAGTTATTCACACAGAACCGTCTAATATGGCATAACTATAAGGAGTAATTTTGCGCTGTTTAAACGCAGCTATGTCAGGATTGGGATAGGTTATACATTTTCATCATTTAAATTATTATTATGATTGTTAATATTATTATTGTATGACATTTTTTCTAATTTTTGGGGTTCTGCCATGGTTAAACGTTTGCCAAATGTCTTAGTTTGTCCAGATTATTGTTGTAGCCTATAGGCGAGAAAAAAGGTAATAACGCAAAAGTGGCAATGTCGCAGCCAATGATAACTAATAAAATGAGTCGCCTGTCGTTTGATAATAGGCAGTTATAACTGACTTTGTTTTTATTAAACGAGAAAACCGTTATTTATAACTTTTCAGCGACCGTTTGTATTTTATGATTAGCTATGTTGATCTTTTTTGCAGTTATTAAACATATAAACTTATTTAAACTGGTTTAAACTTAATATAGTTGTCACTTGAGCTAGTTTCATAAGATTAATGTTTATAATGCGTGGTTTGACATGCGTGGTTGAGGGGTTCCTGCAAAGCAGCTCAATTCATCCTCATGGGGTATTACTGAGCTTTAATCGCCATCTACTGGAGAGAATGTATTTGCTCATTTATAACTCTTTTCTGCAAGTGTGTTTTATGATTTCACAAAGTCAAACCATTATGTTTTTATTTTATATTTTGAGATGATCATATTTAAATAAACAATTGCTAGGGTAGCTAATAGTTTCTTTTTTCTTGTTTTTTAAAAAAAATCAGTAGCTTATAAAATCCAAATTTTTGCTTGACAAAGTTATTGGTTTAGGATTCTGGATGCATTTTTGCTGTGTTGGAAACTCATAAGCTCACACTAAATCAATTATATTATCAGAAATGACAGATATAAGAAATCCATTAATATTCATCACTCTTTTTACAATTATACAAGCAATTTCGCGCCGACGTCAGCTCCACTTTCGGAAATGGTAAACAGCGAGGTGTTATTCATATAAGCCCAAGCATGACATATGTCATGATTAATATAATAATCGAAACACTCTTTTAGGCTATTCTTATGCTTGGCCAAATGTCATGACTTTCACTTTCATTTTACATTATTATGCACACGCCCAGATGTCATCTGAAACTTTGGAAGAATTCCTATCATATATTGACAGCCATCCAGCATCTCTTAATCAGTTTGATATGCGGCGCTGGCTCTGACTGGCCACCGGAGCTCGCGGCCACTCGTTCGACTTTGTCGTGAGCAAGCCGCACAGCACATGCATAAAAACGTCAATCATTTCATTAATTCATCAATTCATTCATTTTCCTTCTGCTTCGTCTCTATTTTAGAGGAAAAGCAATATTCTGGACAAACCAAAGACATTTTGCAAACATTTAACCGTGGCAGAACCCCAAAAACTAGAAAAAAAAGAAGAGAAAGACGATAGCAAAGTGATAGCTAAAAAGGATAAATAGAAATATTAATTTAGAATCACGGATGACTTATTTAATCGCATAGCCCAAATACATGTCATAAAATAATAATAACAATCATAATTTAAACAATTAAATTATAACCTATCCCAATCCTGACATAGCTGCGTTTAAACAGCGCAAAATTACTCCTTATTATGCCATATTAGACGGTT